TATTTTTTGATATCGCACATTCTGTGGGATTACCTTTCTTTGGAATGGGTACAAATATGAATCTTTTCCAGTCAGTTGGCTAGGTAGCTGTCTTCCAAATCTCTTGGCATAGCCAAGTGAGTGCCTCCAGAAGGGCATCCGTTTGTTGAAACATCTCAACAGTGTTCTGTCAATTCCCAGAGCCTTGTTTTTTGCCACTTCCTTCAGTGCAGCTTTGACTTCTTCCTTCAATACCATTGGTTCTTGATCATATGCTACCTCCTGAAATGGATGATCACCTACCAATTCTTTTTCATATAGTGACTCTATATATTCCATCCATCTTTTTTTGATGTCTCCTGCCTCATTCAACATATTGCCTATGGAATCTTTCAATATCGCAATTCAAGACTTAAATTTTTTCCTCAGTTCTTTCAGCTTGCGAAAAGAGAGCATGTTCTTCCCTTTTGGTTTTCTATCTCCAGGTCTTTGATATTTCATTATAATAATTGACTTTGTCTTTTCAAGCTGGTCTTTGAAATCTTCTGTTCAGCTTTTTATCTGTTGATTCTTCCATTTGCTTTAGCTACTCTCCATTCAAGGGCAAGTTTCAGAGTCTCTTCTGATATCCATTTTGGTGCTTTCTTCCTTTCCTGTCTTTTTAATGACCTCTTGCTTTCTTCATGGATGATGTTCTTGATGTTATCACACAGTTCCTCCAGTTTTTGGTCATTGGTGTTCAATGCATGAAATGTATTCTTTAGATGGTCTCTAAATTCAGGAGGGATATAATCAAGTCATATTTTGGCTCTCGTGGACTTGTTTTAATTATCCTCAACTTCAATTTGAACTTGCATATGAGCAATTAATGGTCTGTTCCATAGTCAGCTCCTTCCCTTGTTTTGGCTTAAGATATTGAGCTTCTCCATCACCTCTTGACACAGATGTAGTCAATCTGATTCCTGTGTACTCTGTCTGATGAAGTCCACATGTATAGCTGCCATTTATGTTGTTGAAAAAAGGTATTTGCAATGATTAAGTCATTGGTCTTGCAAAATTCCATCATGCAATCTCCCCCATCATTTCTATCACCAAGACCATATTTTCCAACTACTGGTGATTCTTCTTTGTTTCCAACTTTTGGATTCCAACCACCAAGTCAAGTGATAATCAGCACATCTTGCATGTTTGGTCAATTTCAGACTGCAGAAATCGGTAAAAATCTTCAATTTCCAGTACCATAGTTGTGGTAGTTATGCTTGTCTGTCAACCTGGTTGGGCCTGGTTGGGTGGCTGGGCAGCTGGTGGTAGTTATTCCCCATGATGAGACTGGCAATCAACTCCATGGTGTGATCTACCACAAGCAGCTGAGTACCTGCCTTTGGAATGTGGTCTGCTTCGTGTATATAAAGAGAAGTCTTTGGAATGGTCTCCACCTATGGCACACTTGGACCCTGCATGTAGTCATGTCGTTGCTCAGCGGCCTGCTATGCTCTGCCGACCTTGGGACTTACAATAGACTTAAGTTAATGGCCTGCTGTGAGATTTGGTAACATCAGGACTGTGCCTTTTTACTTGTCGAACTTGGGGGAGCTTCTCAGTCTCAGCAGCCAGCAGCTGTCTGAATGAAGAAATGCCTTTAGCTCCAGTGGGCAGGGAACAGGAGGCAGAGCTGGACCCCAAGGTTGAGGGGCTTTCCCCCCAGCCCCTAGAGCCTGGCACTTTGAACTTGGACTAAAAGCTTCCCAGTTGTAAGAATAAACTCCTGCTTGTTAAGGCCATCTCATTTGTGGTATATTCTTATCAGAGCGTCACTAGGTAACCAGAACAATAGTGTTCCCTTAAGTTCAAAGAATCCTACAAATCCTAGATCAGAATTTGATCTTTAAATATAATCCTTGCAAAACCTTATCTGGATTTTAAAGGCTGAGAATTTTTAAAGGAAATAGTTTCATCTGCTCTTAAGGCCTGGAAAAAAGCCATCATCGTTTACATAAATGTTTTTGTTTTGCTTTCACTATAAGTTTGGTGGGACAGGGTCAGGTCAGTTCATTTTATCCAACTCTTGGACTATGTGTCCCACACTGTGCTAGGTACTGGGGAAATAAAGACAGTAAAACTCCCCTGAAGGGCTACTGGGTGATTCAGAGTGTGAAAGACAAATGTGATAAGGGCTTTCAGAAAGCCCTGCAAAGGTAGAGTGGGAGATGAGGTCAAACCAGCCTCTCTTCCAAAGGCTCAAGGTTTAGGAAAGACTTCTGGCTTTCTCTTGGACACAAAAGAGACAACAGTAAGTTGAGATTGTTTAAGGGTCAAAAATGCTAAGGTATTTGGATTTTTGACACCATATCAGGGATATGGCAGAAGTAATGTTAAAAACTACAGGCTAGAAAGATTTGTTCCAGACAAACAGCTGAGACACACAGGATTCTGCAATGGACTCATCATTTTCAAGTCATTTGACAGGCTTAATGGAGGGAAGAATCATCTTGTTGTTTGGTGCTGTTGAGTCCATTTCAACTCAGAGAGACCCTAGGGACCATAAAATGAAACACTGCTTTGTCCCGTGCCATCCTCGCCATCGTGGTGTCAATCTACCTGGCTGAAGGTGTTCTTCTTTTTCTATGGACCCTCTACGTTACCAAGCATGATGTCCTTCTCTAGGGACTAGTCCCTTCTGATAACATATCCAAAGTATGTGAGATAAAGTCTCACCATCTTGCTTCTAAGTAGCTTTCTGGATGCACTTCTTCCAAGACAGATTTGTTCATTCTTCTGGCACTCCATGGTATATTCAATATTCTTTAGCAACACCATAATTCAAATACATCAATTCTTCCTTGGTCTTCCTCGTTCATTTTCCAGCCTTTGTGTGCATTTGGGCCAGGTGCATCTTAGTCCTCAAGGTGACATCTTTGATTTTTAACATTATAAACAGATCTTTGGAAGGTTGATTTGCCCGATGCAATATGCCCTTTGATTTCATGACTGCTGCTTCCATGGGCATTGATCGTGGATCCAAGTAAAATGAAATCCTTGACAACTTCACTCTTTTCTCCATTTATCATGATATTGCTTATTGGTCCAGTTGTGAGGATTTTAGTTTTCTTTATGTTGAGGTGTGCTCTGTACTGAAGGCTGTAATCTTTGCTCTTCATCAATAAGTGCCTCAAATCCTCTTTACTTTCAGCAAGCAAGGTTGTGTCATCTGCATATCACAGGTTCTTAATGAGTCTTCCTCCCATCCTGATGACACATTCTTCTTCATATATTCCAACTTCCAGATTATTTGCTCAGCATATAGAGTGAATAAGTATGATGAAAGGATACAAACCTGACACATTCCCTTCTTGATTTTAAGCCATGCAGTGGCCCCTTGTTCTGTTCCAATGACAGCCTCCTGGTCTATGAGTATAATTAAGTGTTCTGGAATTCCCATTGTTTGTAATACTATCCATAATTTGTTATGATCCGCACAGTAAAATGCCTTTTCATAGTCAATAGAACACAGGTAAACATTTTTGCTTTCAGCCAAGATCCATCTGACATCAACAATATATTCTTTGTTCCATGTCCTTTTCTGAATCTGACTTGAATTTCTAGCAGTTCTCTGTTGATGGACTTCTGCAAATATTTTTGAATTATGTTCAGCAAGATTTTATTTGCATGTGACATTGATGATATTGTTCTATAATTTCCACATTCTATTGGATCATTCTTCAGAACAGGTACAAATATGGATCTCTCCTAGTTGGTTGATCAGGTAGCTGTCTTCTAAATTTCTTGGTATAAATTAGTGAGTGCTTCTGGTTTAGCATCCATTTATTGAAACATCTCAATGGGTATTCCATCAATTCTTGGAGCCTTCTTTTTCGCCAATTCCTTTGGAGAAACTTGAACTTCTCTAATAACAGTGATTCTTCTATAGAATCTTTTTTCAAAATGTTCAGTAATGGTTGCCAGGCACCATCCAGTTCTGGTCTCACGGCAAAGCAGGCAGTGTTTCATGGCACAATTAGCCACACATTCCATTTCTTCCTCCTGTTCCTGACTTCCCTTCTTCCTTTGTTGCTCCAGGGAAATAGAGATCAATTATCATGCCTTGAATGGCCACTTATAAGCTTTTATGATCCCAGGCACTGCACAGTAAAGTAGGTAGAACAGAAGCACTAAACACATTATTAGGCAATTTGCCTGGGATATCCCATGAAGCCTCCTTATAGGGTCTTATTAGAGCTTTTCTCTCACTGGAGAGCTTCTGGCTAATTCATCGTTTAGAATCCTGTCAAAGGCCTTACTATCTTCCACCTATACATTCGCTTCTTTCCCCTGTATTACAGATCCACCCCTTATCTATATTTCTTTAGCATTTTATACTGTACATATTCCTGTTATAAAATCTAGTACAGTAGATATATTGTGTATGATTACTTGTTTAAACATCTGTGTCCCTGTGCTCCCCTTCCATCCATTATAAGTGATGGATCTTTCTTTTTATTTTTCATTTCTGTAACTCCAGTGTCTAACTAACCTGGTGCATTATTGATAAATATTGGTTAAGTTAATTAATTTCTAAAATAGTTAGTAACTCAGATACATTTTTACACATTTTGGGATAATTTAGTGTCTATTAGGAAAAAAAAATTGTGATGGCTATGTTCTTCCATTTTGACTCTTTGTGTGTCCTCTCTTTTACCTTTCTACCTGTTTTATGATGGACAATTGGACACTGTGACAGTGCCTCCTCTCCAGTCAATTGCCAGTGGGATTCCTATGCCCCTTGGTCAGAATGCAATGGATGTACCAAGACTCAGGTAGGACCATGAAAACCTTTGTACTTGATTACTTTTATACAGAATTAGCTTAGATATGGCCAAAATGGCACTGACTTTGAATGCTATTTCTATGTTTCTTAATACTGTACTAGTAATTTTGAAGTGAGAAAAGTATGACTTATTTAATAATCA